AGGTAATCAGGTTAAGAAAACAACAAAACACTTGAGAGACAGAGGATTCTGGGATAAACGAAGAACCGGCTCATGTCCGAAACCCTGAGGGACTTCTGTCCTAGAATCTCTGTCCTGACCGTCCCACAGGCACTGCGCCTGTCAACTTCGGGTACTCTAGACCGGCTGCCCGAGACAGGTGGGCCTCGCTCCCAGGACCTCCCTCACGTGACCAGGACTCCTGGCCCTTCCACCCTGCAGGACGCCGCGGGGCAGGAGGGCCCGGCTCTCACCTTGCGCGTCCAGCCTCTTGTCGGCATAGACCTTGTAGGTGAAGGCGTGCCGCAGGGCCAGCGCCGCGAAGAACATCTCCACGCAGATGATGAAGTCCTGGTAGCCGGCAGCCACGGTGCCCTCGCCCACCGACACACGGGCTGAGTGGATCTTGGGGATGGCCCCGCACTTCTCCAGGATGGCCAGGAGCAGGCCTGGGAGGCAAGGTGTGGGTGTCTGGCCCTGGCTGGACCGCCTTCCCACCCCCTCCTCCTCCATGCAGCGCCCCAGGTGCCCGGGGCGATGGAAGTAGGGGCCCTGGTTGCTCCTGTGGGCAGCGTTGCTGACACAGGCCAAGGCCACTTGGAAACCCCACGCCCCCAGACTCTTTCTGGCCACGAACACTGAGACGTCACAGATTATGCGGGGTCCCCCGTGTCCCCCCACCCATGCATCAGCCTCACTAAAGCTCTGCCCTGGCTCCTAAGGCCCCTAAGGGCCCAAACTTCTGCCCGAGTGGGCACCCAGTGGATGGAGGCCCCTTTGAGCTCCAGGCTGGGATCCCTCAGGACAACCCCATGGCCTGGGCAGGCAAGAGGAAGGGACGAGGTCTAGGGGACAGGGCCGCCACACGGGGCTGGGCAGAGGCTCACCTTGCCAGAAGGAGAGGAAGATAACAGACTTGACCATGAAGAACTTGAGGACAGGGCTGTAGGGGCTGAGCAGCTCCCTGGTGGCGAAGTAGAAGAGGAAGAGGGCGTAGAGGGCCAGGCTGACGGAGACGTTGTAGATGATGGTCACGTACAGGTAGCCGCTGGCGACGCTGCAGAAAAGGGGAGCATCCTGGCTTGGACAGTCCCTCCGAGGGACGAGGAGCCCCCCCTCCGTTGTCCTGCCCCTACGCCAATCCCCATGGCTCTAGCCGTGCTCCCAAGCAGTGCTCCACGAGCCACGTGGTGATCAAAGGGGCCAAAACACGAGGCGGGTGCCGGGGTGCCTGCAGCACAGGCCGGGCCAGCGCCCCGCCTCACGCAGGGGTGTCTAGCCACCTGCCCGCAGCTCTGGTGCCCACGCTCCTGGTGGAGGACATGACACAGGCATGGAAGCCAGCCTGGCCTGGGATGAGGGCTCAGCTGATGGTCAGACAGCGAGTGTCAGAGTGACGGGAGCCCAGCCCTGCTCTTTCCAAGGTGAGCAAGTTACAGCCCACTGCGCCTCCGTTTGCCCACCTGCCCTGGCGGGCTGCTGTGCACCACCCAGGTGGTGTTGCCAAGTGCATGCCAGCACACGGCCATGGGGCCACTGTCCCTCACGCCCAGTGAGAGGCCTGGGCAGTTCACCAGGTGAGGCTTTCTACCCGAGGATTCAAGGCGGGCCTCTCGGGCTCCAGCCCCGCTGCCTGCCTGGATGGTTACTGTTCCTTCTGCCCCGGGTGCACCCCCCACCCCCCTATGCAAAGGGGATGGATGCTGAGGGCTCCTCGAGTGCCCCTGATAGGCCAGCCTCGCAGCTCAGGGGTGCGGAGGCGTGAGGAAGGCTGGGAACATGCTTGACCTCCACTCAGATGCGGTCTTGAGGGTGTGCGTGTGCCCAGTCTGTGGCCGCCTCCTTCCCTAAGCCAGGCATTTGCCTCTGGGCAGGGACATCTACCCTGGCACCAACACTCCCCCCCCACACCCCTGCGGGGACCCGCTGCTTACTCAAAGTCACCGTCCCGGTACTTGCCAAAGGCCTGGAGGACCACGGTGCTGACAGCCATGAGGGGCTTCACCACGCAGAACTGCAGGGTGGCCTGCGGGGAGAAGCCAAGTGTCAGGATGGGACAGACCACTTAACAGCACCCCCTCTGGCCAGCAGACCTGCTGGATGCCAGGCCCGGGGAGCCCAGGGTCCTCCCCGAGGGGACTGCTGTCTGGAGAAGGCGGAGGGAGTGAGACGATGCCAGTGTGACTCAGCTGAGTGAGAAGACGGGTGTGGAGGAGGGAGGACGATGGACAGAGGAATGGAGGAGAGGAGACAGGAGATGTCCCTGGAGAAGGGGCAGCAGGAAGGTGAGACAAGGGACAGGCAGAGGGGACAGCTCATACCGAGGCCAGAGGCTGAGTGGTCAAGGGCACGGGTTCATGCTGGACGGGCAGCACCGTGAAGTGGCCAAGGAAGTGGGTGGGGTGGGGAGCAAAGCTGGGGCCCTGCTCCAGGGACTGGCCACATGGGGAGCAGGGTTGGACCAGGGCTTCCTCTCGTGCCCTCGCCCACCCCCGGGGTCTGGCTCCCTGCCCCGGGCTCTGGGTCTGGGCCCAGGGTTTATAGTGAGCTGGGGTCCTGCTGGGGATGGAGACAACTTAACAGGAGCACGAAACAGGAAGCAGCCCAGAGCAAAGGTCTAGTTCTGACACCCGAGTTTGAATGTTGGCCTTGCCAGCTGCCAGAAGCTCGAGCGGCGGCCACTGAGCCTCTGGGGGACGGACGTAAGCAGCCCCTGTCACAGGGTAAGCCCCGGGGCACCCACGGCGCCCATAATGTCACTAGAATCACCTTCCTGCCGAAGTCAAATACGTCTAAGCCACGGGGCCTCCTGTGGAGGCAGGAGCAGTTGGAAAGGCTAAGCGAGTGTGGCTCCAAACAGGGCCAGGACCCTGGAGCGGAGAACGTGGCCTGTTGAACCCAAAGTTCTGGGAACCGGAGTGAGGTCTGCAGGGGAGCCCAGTGGTCAGAGCTGTGGGTGCCACCAGGAGAGGCATGTGTGACGGGGCTAGGGGGGGTGATACTGCTGTCACACCCCACAGATCTGCCCTGGCCTCCCCACCCCACCTGGAGGAGCTGGGACCCCCACCGACAGCCCACAGGGGAGGAGCATCCCCTCGTCTGGAGTGAGCCGGTGAGCGAGCGAGCTAAGAGCCGGCCACAGGCGGGCGCCCGGTCAGCCGCTTGATGCCCACGTGCCTGTGGAGCCCCAGACGTAAGCACTGTCCCCAGCCTGATACAGAGGAGGGAACTGAGGCCCAGGGACCCTGAAGCGCCAGCAGGAGGTCCTACCCTGGGACAAAGCTGCCACCCCAGGGCAGGGGGCGGGGCTTTTGTTCTCTCCCCTTTTCCTACCTCTCCCAGCCACTGCCAGGAACAACGGTGGAATATCCGGAACAGCCAGCCCACAGGCCTGGGGATAATTTATAACAAGGCGGCTGGAGCTAGTGATCTGGGATCAAAACTTTGTACACAATATAATCATCAAAGAAGGCATGAGTCACAGGCGCAGGCGCCCAGCCCAGGGTAAACAATGGCCCTGAAAGGCCCCACCCTGAGCCCGGGACAGTTTAACTCTTTCCCTGCAGGTCCCTCAGGGAGACTGTGAGTTTAGAAACACCGTAAGGAAGGAAGACGTGGAAGCTGACCTGGAGGCCCGGGAGGTCCGGGCAGGCTCTGTGGGAGTGTGTGCCTGGCCCTACACAGAAAAGCCAGACCTTCAGCAGGCCAGAGGCTGGCTGTGGTTCATTTCCCCTCAGGTTACTCTGGAGTTGCTGGAGGGGTCGGAAGGCCCTGTGGAGCCCCAGAAGAGACTCAGTCGAGGTCGTGCAGCTGGGCATGGCACCGGACTCTCCCTCCCCAAACAAGAGATGGTGGGCTCTGTGCCAGCACCTTGCGAATGCTCTGTACCCACCGCCTCACCTGTTCTTTAAACCATCCCTTGGGATAAGTAACATTACGCACATTTGACAGAAGGAACTAAGGCTCAGAGAGGTTAAGTAATGACCCGAGGTCACGGTCAGAGGAGAAGCTGGAAATCAAACTCAGATGGTCAGAGGCACAGGCCCATGCACTTCACCACCACACGGCCCCGCCCAGCCCTTCCAGACCACAGGGAGGCACTGGGAAAACGAAAGCTGCTGCTGCCAACTGGGAAATGGGGGAGGGACTAGAGACAGGACACGCCTGGTTCGTCATGCATCTTGTTTTTTTCAATCCTCACCTGAGGATATTTTTTTAAATATATATTTTTGTTGATTTTAGAGAGAGAGGAAGGGAGAGGGATAGAGAAATAGAAACACTGAGAAAGATCGATTCGGCTGCCTCCTGCACGCCACCTACTGGGGATCGAGCCCACAACCAGGGCATGTGCCCTGACCTCTTGGTTCATGGGTCGATGCTCAACCACTGAGCCACACCAGCAGGGCTGGTCTTGTATCTTTAATGCAGAAACGCTCCTTCCCTCTAGCCCCAGCTGATGAGAAGTTTTCAAACGGAGATTCTAGAATCCCCATGCACATCCTCCGATTCTCACATACACCGAGACTTGGTCAAAAGGGGCAAGAGTCTGAGACCACTTCATGCCCAGGACGCCTCTCACTGCCCCTCCGAGCACCCCTGTGAATGCAGGGGCATCCCTAACTGTGTGGGGAGTGGATGCTGGGTTTTGGGGGGGGGGGCTTGCAGGAAATGGGAACTCCAAGGTGGAGCCAGGGCAGCCTGTGGCAGGGTCCACCCAGCTGGCCTCTGCCACCCTGTCAAGCAGGGGCAGCACAGCCCCGCAGCTGCTGCTCCAGGGCACAGACCGTGCAGGGGCACACACCTGCTTGCAGAACCGCAGGAACCCAATGGAGTACGTCTTTCCCCAGAGGCAGCAAGTGCCATACATACAGCTGGACCTGGAAGAGACCACAGAGGAGATGGTGAGCAGAGAGCTAGGACTCGGGGAAGGTGGGGCTGGGGGACGCCCTCCCGCACATCCAGACAAGCCAGGGCACAGCAGGGTGGGGTGGGGACAGGGCAGAGAGCCCAGGCAGCTTTGAGCCCGAGGCCAAGTACAGGGAGCCAGCGGAGAGCATTTGCAATTGCGGTAAAGCATGAGGGAGCAGGCAGCTCGGCGGCCCGCGGGGAACAAAGCACCTGAGAAGCACTGACTGTAAACAGTGCAAGAGGGAGAGAGAAACAGGAAAAGACGGGAAGACAGAGGAGAGAGAGCCGGGAGGCCCTTCCGAAAGTCCCAATGAATGGCCTTGCTCGGGAAGCTCAGGAGACACAGCAGGTCAAGGCCACAGGCGCAGAGGAGCTGCATGTCCAGCTGCTGCGGGGACAGCTCGGAGGAAGGCAGGCCTGGAAAGCAGGGCGCGGGGCTGCAGGGAGCTGTGTACTCACTCGATGGGCTTCCCCCGGATCTCAGACATGATGGAACTTTCTCCCCCGAGGTACTCATAGCACAGGCTCAGGAAATTGTAGATGACCAAGGCTGTGAAAAGAGGGTCCACAGTAAACCACTCCCATCAACAGGACGGTCAACAGACGGCAGAACTCTGAGCAGCAACGAAGTGAAAGACCAGTCACAGCAGCAACAGAGAGCCCTGAGGGACAGGAGAGCCGCACCGTGAGCTGAACACTCCATTTTAACCAAAACCAGGCCGCACCAGTCGCACTGCTTGGGATGCTACGCACTGCTCTCACTCTACAGCGTGCACATGGCGACCTCAGAAGTCAGCTCTGTGTGGGGAGACGGGAGGACAGGCGGTTAGGGTGGGCACGGAGGGGCCTTGGGGGAGCTGGCCGTGTGCCCGCTCTGGGGTTCAACCAGGTACTGGCTTTAGAATTCATCCTATGCTCTTTTCTATTGTGTTATGGACCACGAATTTACAGCAAAACAACAATAAAACATTCTCCGGGGGGCTCTCAGGAAACATTCTAAGCAAGAATGAGACGGCAGCACTCCGTTCGCTCACAACCTGCAGTGCACCTGCGTCTGCACTAAACACAGGAGAGGTGCGGAAAGAGGCACACGTCTTGAGAAGCTGGGTCAGCTCGTTCTGAGTCAGGAGGCGACTGGACATCCCCACAAAGATAGAATCTGCGAGAGCGACCGCCCGCCGGCAGAGAAGTATGTTGTAAATGCTACGCTATAAATACAGCAATGCGCTGTGATGGCTCCTGGTCAGAGATGTCTGCTGGGTCAGCAAAGCGAAGGCTGCTGCCTGCAGGTGCCAGAGCGAAGGGGTGTGCCAGGAGCGAGGAGGGCGAGCGTGGAAGAAAGAGTGAGTGTGTGGCAGAGGACACCACAAAGGACGGGGCCGGAGGGTCGGGGCCGGAGCAGGGAGCGAGGAGAGGCATCCAGAAAAGCATGGCCAGGGCAAGGTCAACATGGGGCCAGAGAGGCCCCTTCTCCTCTGACCCTGCGTCCCCTGCAGCACGAAGGCCTCGGGGCTCCTGGCACAGCCCCTGGTTTGGCACTCAGGGTCTCCCCACTGATGACGTGGTCCCTGCCCACCCCTCACTCTTCCTGCCCAGCAACGCTGGACGCCCCTTTCCATCAGCAGGTTATTGCTTTTGCACTGGCTGTTCCCACTGCCTGGGGTGCCCCTCCCTCCGCACTCCCATCAGACACCACCTACCCTGCGAGTCTCTGGCCACCCTAAGCCAGTTCTCTCACCCACAGCCCTGATGACGTGCAGACGCTGTGCAGACCTCAACACGAAAGGCTGGCGACACAGTCGGTGGCGAACGGTGGCCTTCAACTTGGAAAGGAAGGTATCTGGGTGCTTTTTGCCACTCACAGCTGGTTCGGGCCTGGAAGTGAGGGCCCCAGGGAGCACCCTCTATGAACACGACCCATAGCACCTACCACACTGTGCTGGGACTACCCCTTAGCAGACACAGAGCAGAGGGGTTGCCGCCTGGGTCTGCCACGGGATTAGCTGTGAGCCTCAGTTTCCTCATCTGTTAAATGGGGACGGGAGTCCCTACCTTCACAGGAGGCTGCGAGGTTGAAGTGAGTATGCAAAGTGTTCGGACGAGTGGGCAGCACTCAGCAGGGCTGCGTGTCGGCTACTACCTGCCTGCCTCCCTCAGGGGCCAGCATCCCGGGATGGGCTGGGACCCTGTGTGCTGCCGGCCCAGCACAGGAGCAGCTCAGGATGTCTGGTGACTGCAGGCATCCCCACTGATCACTCAACGACAAGAACTACTCTGGGGTACGGGGAGGGAGCATCTAGCCAAATCTGACGTCAGCCTGCTAATGGCCTTTGTCCAAACCCACACGAGGCCACATGGAATGGATGTGTCCATCCCAGGCTGGGTCCAGCCATATTGTGGTCGACGGTTATTTTCCAAAGACGGCCACACTCTCTGACACTGACACAACCGCTGCATACGGTGGACCGGGTGGCGCAGAAGCGATGCTTCGTGGCATCTGACACTGGGATCAGAAGCCTCTTTCCTCTGTTCTTTCCCGAGACGCCTGCCCTTGGATCCAGTCACCGTGCGGGAAGCCCAGGCTGACCCCCACGTGGGAGGAATTGAGGGCCCAACAGACACCAGCACCCACTGCCAGACACACGAGTGAGTCAGATTCCAGATGAATCTGCCCCGGCCAAGACCCCGCTACCACGGGCAGGGGCACACCATGCCCACGTGCGTCCTGATGCCTGCCTGGCAGTCAGCAGAAGCAGACGGTTGTTTTACACGGGGCTGTTTGGGATCGTTACCTACACAGCCATGTAAGTAGAACCTAGACATAAAACCACCTGTGGCGTTCCCAGGGCGTGCACGCTCCTCACGCGTCCCGAGGCCACATATTCTGGTCCCTCTGCCTCCCAGAGGGACCCGCTGAGGTGCCGCCTTCTCCTTGGTGGCCTCCTCTGTCCTGTTGCCATGCTCACTTCCCACACGGTGAGCTCTCTGCCCATCCGCCTGGAACTTCCAGTACAAGCAGCAGCGAAGTGGCAGGAAAGCCATGAACGCCGAGCCAGCCCTCCTGGGTGTGGGCGTGGTCCTACCACTTGGAGCTGTAAACATGGCCACATATTCTGGCTACACTCTCTCCACCAAGATGTTTCATTTGGGCCCAGGTTCCAGGGGCTCAGAGCAGCAGGGCAGGCAGCCATGCCCACACTCAGCTCTGTGCTCCAGTTCGCCCTCTCACGGGATGCTGAACAGATTTCCCCAAGGTGATCAGATTTCCAGGCCGGAAAGACAAAACCCTCCAGGGAACCCCCAGGGGCCGAAGTTCATCAGCCCCTCCACACGGAACCACTCTCACAGCCAGGCCTCCTGCCATCCACGGAGAAGAGCCTGGCGCCTGAGCTCACATCCTTTCCTGTATCACATAGGTCTGCATGCAGCCAAGCTCTGTGCTCAGTTGGTCAGAACTGTCAAATCTCATCCATCCCTCAGCTCAAGATTCTCGACCTTTTACCAGTGCTCTGGCCAGCGAGTCTGTATAACACCAAGTTGGTGACGATGTCTGTTAAAGAATCATGAGTGAGTCGATAACGCGCTCTCAGAGAAGGGAGGCAAGACAGACTGTCTTCCAGATGGTCCAACCAGCCCACACCAGGACCATCTGGACAAGCCAATCCCTCACCAGAGAGTTCCAGAGCCACCCCAGCACCCGGCCAGGGTGTTCACAATGACAAGTCAACACACCCCAGGAACCAACACAAAGATATGCTGCCCTGGGCATCGGGAAAGCACAGCAGATTCGCAGTGAGGTTCTCAGCCAGCGGCCTTGTTGCCTGACTTCCCCCTGACCATGGTTTCAGTTCTGGCCCCTGGGAGGCCTCAGAGAAACAGAGTAACTCTATGCCCCCTAAATGTTTGCTACAGCCTCTGTGCTAGGCTCTGTGCTGGGCCCTGGGGACACAGAAATGACCAAGGATCCCACAGAAAAGGCCCTCCCGTGTGAAGCAGGGCGTCCAGAATGAGGGAAGGGACGGTGTCTGTCTGTCTCCGTCTCCTGCTCGGGAAAGTGAGGTACTGGAACTTTGGGCTCCATCCTGTGCGCCTAGAGAAATGCACACAGTCAGGAGAGCAGGACAGGGTGGGGATGAAATGCGGGCTGTCCTGGGTCCTTGAGGCCTGGAGGGAAGACACTGGCACTCACTCTCTTCATCTGTGCGCCAGTAACCTTGCCCAGAAGGTCAGACAGGACCTGCTTAATCCCAGAGGTGGATCCTACGACCTCTGCTCAGTGTAAGAGGCAGTCTTCAGAGGGGCAAGGTAGTGAGCTCTCTGCTAGTGGAAGCATGCAATCAGAGCTCGGCCCTTTCACATGGGCCACAACCAGGGCATGGCAGCCCCTTAACAGGCATTAACTATAAAGGGCCTGAGCAGCTGACACTTTACAGGTCCCTCCTTTCCAACCCCGAGACGCCTGCCTGACTTTCTCTCCAACCGGAGCAGCAGGGAAAGGAAGCTGTCCTCCAAGAGACTGTTCTCCACCCCGCCCCCCTCATCCCTGCCCCCCTCCCGGACAACTGCAACAGCACAGCCTTGGGGGCCCCCAAGGCTTCACGAGGGGCTCCCTGACAAGTGCACTCAGCAGCCTCTGCCAGCAAACCCCGGGGCAGGCGTCCTCATCGGCTCCCCCCCTCCCACACTACAGGTAAGTGAGGCACCCGTCTGCTCCACAGACACTCCCTGGGCCCCATTCTGTGCCCTGGGTGCACCTGGCCATCGCCAGCTCACTCCTCCACGCGCCTTCCGCACCGAAAGCAGCCCCGGGGCCTCGCTGTCCTTGCTACACAGACACTGTTATTTGGAAAGACTCGGGCATTCGTTTTTCAGATAACTCACGGGTGAGCCCGGGAAACTCAGTTTTGACCACTTGGGACAGAAATCTTCCCTGCTCAGTAAAGAGGGCCTCAGGACTTTCTTTCCTTTTTTCAGGGACTGATGATCACTGCGGACAATAATGGGCACAGTGCACTACAGCCAGGGCGACGGGCTCTGCCCGACACGAAAGGCCCAGGGGTGCTGCCAGGCAGGTCCTTCCCCCACACTCCCCATGTCATGTCTGTCCTTTGCTGGTCCTGCTTCCTGCCACCTGGAATGCCCTTTCTCTCTCTCAGGACCTCTGCTGGTTCCTTCTGCAAACCTCTTTATTCTGATCAGAGCTCCTGTGAGTCCTGGCAGCACATGGCGTCGCCGGCCTTCTGTGGCGTGTTTGCGGCCCTCGGCCGGGTTCATTCTGGCTACACTCTCTCCACCAAGATGTTTCATTTGGGGCCAGGTTCCAGGAAGCGAACCTTGTCCAAATCTGAAACTGGGTGAATGAAGCGTCATTCTTTAATTGTTTCATCCAGGCCTGTAAAACCTCTTCCCCTGACAAGAGTTCATATTTTTCGCTGAGAAACTCATCCTGTGTTCCTTCACCAAGCCTGGCACAGGGCAACCCCGGGCCTGGGAGCCCCAGGCGAGCCTGGCGTCCAGCAAGCACGTGGGAAATCCTGGGCCAGCTTCTTAGCCTCTCAAATTCCTTCCCACGGTTGTAAAATGGGGGTGATATGTATTCCTCCGGGTAACTGGGAGGTGAGAATGAGCTAAGCCTAATGAAAAATAGGTGGTAAAGCTGTGAGCCCACACCATCGTTACTGGGAAAACAGTGCTGCGTAAAGCAACGGGAAGCCCTCTCCTCTGCACCCTGGCCTCCTGCACCCCTGGATCAGCTCCCCAGCTCCTCAGGCTGCCTCAGAGTTATCTCTAGGAGCTACCTCCCACGCCGACCACAATCAAACACTAAATGCAGAGAAGGGGCTGGTTTCCCGGCTACCCCAGCCTGGCGCTGCCGTGTGAACTGCGGTGTGAGTTACAGCCCTCACCAGATGGTAGGTACTCGGTCAGAGGGACCCTGGGCTAGCCATTTACTTCTCTGAGACTCGCCCTCTCCTTGGAAAATGGCAATATTACCACCCACTCAAGCTGTTTATTTCCTCTCCCCCTCCCCCTCCCCCTCCCCCCAGAATGCCACTGAGATGAGAATGAATCGGTGGAAAAGTACAAGCCTTCAAGGACAAGGAGATGGCACCGGAGGCAGCCGACAGCAGTGCTGACAAAAGCTCTGAGATGCAGCATGGTCAGCGTGGCCCCCGACCAGGAGGGCCCAGGACTGCAGGGGAAGGTGCAGGTGGAAAACATGGCTGCAAGTCTGTGCGGCCTTTACTTTCCTGGCCGGTGGGGACAGCTCCTTCCTCAGAGAACTCAGCTCAGCCGAGGGCAGCAACGCGGACACTTGCAGAAAACAGATGAGGTCTGAATGTGAAGCGCGAGGTGTCTAGGTCCCTTCCCCCAACTGCACCCTTAACTCAGCGTGCCCAGCTTTCACCACCCAGAGAACATTATGACCTGGGGAAACAGGCCCAGGATAAAAAAATCTTCATCGAGTGCCTGTCCCCACCACTGCGTAAAAACGGCACAGGAAAACCATGTCCTGTCACCCAACTGGGAGGCCGGCAGTGTAAGCCCCATTCTTCAATACAAAGAATAGCCAAGGACACCAGACACTTGAGGAGCGCTTCCAAAACAAAGGTCAAAGGCCAAGACAAACAAACAGGGAAGTCAGGAGACCGAGATAATGCAGGAAACAGAAGAAAACTGCAATTAGCGTCCCGGGAAGGGGAGATACTCTCTCCCACACCAAGCACAAGGGACTATAAAATAGAACAGGAAAGAGCGCCTGACGCTTTACAACACGATAAAGAAAACAAAACCTTCCGTAGGAAAGCTCAAAGGTAAATATTTAAAATAAAATTTAAAAGCTCCTGGGAAATAGAACAAAAGAAACCATAAAGAAAACTTACAGGTCAATCCAGAAGTGCAACATCCTTCCAACAGGAATTCCGGAAAGGAGGAATAAACTGGGGGGGGAGGGGGGGTAGCAAAGGAACACGCAAGAACATTCTCGGCACGGAGGACATGGGCTTCCACGTGAAGGCCCCCAGGCACCCCGCACAGTGACTATCCCGCCGCCTCTGAGATTTCAGAACACTGGGGGCAAAGACCATAAGCAAAGGGGAAAGCAGGTCACACACAGACATTAAGAGCCAGAACCCAGCCCTGGCCTGTGGTTCCGTTATTTAGGGTGTCATGCCATGATGCCAAGGTTGTGGGTTCGATCCCTGGTCAGAGCACATAGAACAATTAACCAATGAATGCATAAATAAATGAAACAACAAAATGATGTTTCTCTCCTCTCTCTCTCTTTCTCTCTCAAGTCCATTTTTTAAAAAAAGAATCAGAATCCAGCAGACTTTCCGAAAACAATGCTGGAAGCTGAAAGACTGAAAAACCTGCCTTCAGAATTCAGAGGGAGAGTAATTTCCGTCTTAGAATTGTACTCCCATTGACAACTAACCAAACAGAACAATATAATACATATCTGTAGACAATTTTCAGATTTCAAAAAACAGAACCCCCATGCACCCTTTTCTCAGGAAGCTCCTGGGAGCCGAGCTCTAACCAGGAGAGGGCGAATCACCAACAAGGGAAAATGACCCCAGGGGACAGGTGGTCAGCACAGGAGCCAGGGTTCCCAGGACGCTGGGAGGGAAGACCCAGGGCAGCTGCCGAGCAGGAGGCCAGACCCAGCCCAGAGCAGGAGGCAGGGCGTCAGGAGGAACAGCACCGAGGAAAACCCAGAGCGAAGGGACATGCGCCTCCTCTTAGAGAAGGCGCGCTTCTAATTCAGTGAAGCGTTCGGGAACAAAGTGATGACAGATACAGAGCAAACAGAGTAAACCAAACAGCAAGACAAGTGGCAGCAGAGCAAAAGCACAAGGAAATGTCATCTCGAGGCACCTGCAGGCTCAGCGTTGAACAATGTTTATAGACATGGAGTAGCGCACACACGAAATGCGGACTTAGAAACGCTTGTCACCTTAAAAAGATGAAGGAGCGAAGCGTGTGGGTGTGCACAGCCGGAGGTGAGTGCCTGAGTCACAAGCCGCCCAGAGGAAGAAGTCTGCTACTAAACACTACATGACACTGGAAAATCCAGAAACAACAGTCTACGCACGTTTTTAGGTTATTCAAGGGAAAAAAAGTTTAAGGAGTTGAAAGTGGCCCTGGCCGGGTAGCTCCATTGGTTAGATGATCATCCTGATTTTAAAAAAATAATAAAAATAAAAAAAGAGTTGCAAGTGCAGTGAACTTGGGAGTCAGAGGAGTTGGGGCAGCTTGTTTCGTCCATATGCATGTATGACTTTAATAAAAATAAAATGTTCATTGTTTTAATTTTGTTAAAAAGAAAAGCAAATGTCGCGTAATGGCCAGCAGAGGTCTGGCTACTGTGAAGTAGGAGTTCCTTGGCCCAGTCCGTCCACTCCTGCCCCTTCCCCGTCTCAGGAGACTGGGAGGAAGGGGAACGCATGGGGGCCTCTTTTTGAACTGTAAGGGACACGCCGCCACCACGCCTGCTGGGGGCAGGTCCTGCGGAGCTGCAGCACTTGTAGATATAAAAACTATGGGAGAGGGTCCCAGGCACGGAGCAGAGGTGCGGCAAAGGGCGAGGCGAGGGCCACACCGCCCGCGCGGACACGGAGCTTGTGGACGCTGGTGGCCTGTACTTCGGCGGCTGGGGCCCTGTTTGTAAACTGCCTGGGAGGGGCCCAGGGACAACAGCGTTGCTAGGAGACGCAGACTTCTTACAAAGGACCTTTCTGTAGCTGGGAGGAAGGTCTGGACAGGCAGGGCCTGAACAAAGAGGCTTCTGGAGTGGGAGGAGCCGCCAACCATCTGCTGCCACCTCTGGGGCCGGAGCAAGGGCAATGCGAAGGCTCCCTGGCTGTGCCCCCTTCTGCCATGCACCCCAGTCTGCAGGGCCTGTCCCCCGACCATACAGGGGAGGCTCCCTGGGCAGGGCAGAGCTTTTTTATTCTGAATGAACAGAAGCAGAGGCTGCGCCATGCGAGGCTGGCAGGTGAATGGAAAGGATTCTTGGCCTCACCTTCTCCAACCCCAACCTCTGTGGCTCCCGAGGTACCAGAGGTTTTGCTGGGGGCTCTGCTGCTTCCAGGAATATCAGGCACTAGAGCCCCACCTGCCTCAGCACCATCACCCGGCAGGGCGAGGCAGGGACACCAGCAGGGATTTTAATGAGGCTACATGTGGATGAACGCAAGGCACAGAGCAGGTGTTTCACCAAGTCCCTTATTCATTCCAAACAGCCAGAAGGAGGGAGCACCTACCATGTGCCCGGCTCTGCTGGCACTGCCCTCAGGAAGGGGAGAACCAACCAGGCACTTCACTGCACACCGTGTGCTGCGGACCGGGTCTGGGAGGGGAGCCACCGGGAAGGCCTCTCCGAGGGGACACCGCGGCCCAGATGGAGGAGGGGGAGCCCACGGAGAAGAGCTTTGTGGGCACTGGGTGAACACCCGGTGTGCCAGGCCAGAAGGGAGGCCGGTGTGGCTGAAGGGGCAGGTGGGGAGGGGTGTTAGGCATCTGAATTTCCTCACCAAATCCAAAGGCGTTTCCTGTGCCTCTGAGTGCTCAGGGACACACGGGTTCAAAACGGGGCAGAAACAGACTCCAGTTTCTCGGGGGACGAGCATGAAGCCCAGGGCCAAGAACCAAGCCCTCCCAGGTCAGAGAAGCTGACAGGCGGTCATGGTCAGAGCTGCCTGGTCACAACACAAGGAAAACCACATCTGGTCACTTTACCAGGAACCAGCAGTGCAGGTACAGGAGACGGGGAACACATACGACCGTGAGAGGGGGCGAGCATCAGAAGGGATCTTGAATCCAAGGACCCCTCCTCCCCAAGCTGCTGGCCTGTGGCCTGTACTGGGGCCTCTGGCCCCTCCGTCACCCACAGCCCATGTAGAGAGCTTTGTAGCCTGCAATTTCGCATCATATTTTTAGGCATCAACAGTAAGAAAGAAGATGTAAATTTCCCTGTGTGGCCAGCAAGGCTGTGTATGTCCCTGTCCCTGGCTCCCAGTGCAATCCCTCCTCCGGCCACCAGCCCCCCACAGCCACCCCACCCTGGCTGGGCACACGGGGACTCCTCCCTCTGCTCAATTTAGCTCTCCGCTCAGCCCAGAACGGACTCTCCTCCTCGCCCTCCCTCTGACAGGCACCAGCTCACTCTCCAAGCCTCAGGCCAGGACCACTGGGCCCCGGTGAGAGAGGCTGCCTGCCCTGCGGTGACTGTGCAGGTGGCACAGACTCCTGGAGGGCTGGCTGGTCAGGGCCTGTGTGCCTGGAGCTCAGTGCCAGAGCTGGTGATGCCCCTACATCACATGCAAGAGCAGAGGCCCCCAAAGGCAGTGAGCCACCTTCTTGGGTGGCACAGTAGAGCTCCTCCAGGGACAAAGCCCTCAGACTTAAGGCACATGGGGAGGGAGGCCCCGCACTGCCCCACAGACTCCTGGATAAACCCCAACCCATCTGCACCTGGAGCTTCTATCTACAGACAGATCGCTCATTTGCTGCCTGCGCACCCGTCTGAGACACCAGAGCTGAGAAAGGGGACACGGGGGGAGAGTCCCTGCTTCCAGGTGTCTGTAATGCTGCTCTGGGAGCCCCATCGCAAAGGGCATCTGAAGGTGAGACTCTGGCCACACCTGTGCTGTCACCTGTCGCTCTAGGCCTGGATGGTGGGTAAAGAAGCGAGGGGTGGCCCCGCGAGGAGAAACCAGGAGAGGGGCCCGTGGCTCCCAGACGCCAGGCAGGAGGGGTGCGCTGCCCACGCCGGCCCTCCCTGGTGCGCGCCCACACGTCCTCACCCTCGTAGCAGTCGCGCACGGTGCCGAAGTACACGTAGTACTGGTCGTTGGTGAAGAAGAGGAGGCTGAGCCAGGAGTCGAAGGCGTAGATAGGCACGATGAAGAGGATGCGCACGATGTAGCGCTGCTCGTTGGGGCGGCTGTAGCAGCGCAGGTGCATGTAGATCTGCGGGCAGAGGAGCAGTGTCGGGGGGAGGCGGGCGAGGGGTCTAGCTCAGCCACTCACTAGACCTGTGACCGAGTGACTCCACCGTGCGCCTCAGCCTCCTCCTCTGCAAAAGGGCACGGTGAGTGTGAGGCTGCTGCGAGCATCAGACCCCGGGGTGCAGAAAGCCTGTGGGGGTGCAAGCGGTGGCGCCAAGGCCGGCCTCACAGACTCAGGAGCACGAGTCCATGCCCGAGACTGTCCACATCCAAGCGGGGAATCCAGCTGTAACAAGCACCCTGGGACCCTCGTGCACGGCCAGGTTTGTGTGGTGCAAAGGTTTTCAGTGTGTGTCCCCACTCCACCTCCCTAAACACCTGGTCCCTGGGCCATGGAGCTAACTCACAGGCGAGGGGGTGGGTGCCCACCCGCCCCATCCCCTAACTAACGTATGACGGGGCAGACGGGACCCCCACTTCTACGCAGGGTGGATGCTCTCCCTGGCTGCGTGGCTGCAGCGATGTCCTCACCTGTCTGACCTTCCCAGCTGGAACAGAGGCAGCGCTCCTGCCGCACGGGCAGTTGGGAGAATGAATGCGGTTTTTAGAAATGGGGGGTGGGGATAAAAGTTGCACACAAATGCCAAGACCTGCTCTAGCCAGGAACCTCGTCCCAGCCCGAGTCCCCCATCCCAGCTTCATGACTTCACACTTGGCCCAGCCGAGCCCTGGGCTCGGAAAGAAAAGAACAAAATATTCCCCATCTGCAATGAAGCAACTGGGTTCTAGAAAGGATGGGGAACACAGGGCAGCGGGAGAGGAGCTGAAAGGGGACCCAAAGCTCAGCCTCTGTCTTTGCTGGAAACCTTCAAACCTCTCCTTGCTCAGGCAGCCAAGGCCCGTCTCAGGCCACACCAGGCTCCTCTGTGCCTGTGAGCACGGGGGACAGGACACTGACTTCTACCCCAGCTCTGCCAACGACTAAGTAAATAGGCTAGTCCCCTCCCTTCTCCCTCTCTGGGTCCCAATTTTCTCATCTGCGAAGGGGTCACTGCAGCTAGGTGCTCATGCACAGTCCCCCAGCTCCCTGCAGCTCAGGCTGGACACGGGACTGACAACTAGGTGCTCACGCACAGTCCCCAGGCCCCCAGCAGCTCAGGCTGGACACGGGACTGATATCAGGTGCTCACGCACAGTCCCCCAGCTCCCTGCAGCTCAGGCTGGACCCGGGACTGACATCAGGTGCTCACGCACAGTCCCCAGGCTCCGTGCAGCTCAGGCTGGACACGGGACCAGTTCTGGCCCAGGGACAGTGAGCAGAAGAAATGAGTGTCGTTTCTGGATCTTGAAAGGTAAATACCCAGAGTGCCTCCCACGTGACCCTCCTCCCAGTGGTCAGGTGGATGATGCCTTGGAGCTGCAAGATGCTGGAGCCACAGGTGGAACCTGAAGCGCACTGGGCTGGGATGTGAGCAAGCAGTCCCCTTCTCCCAGAGGAGCTCCGGAGATCATGGGGGTCATTTACCGCTGCAGCGTCGCCTGCCCGCGCCTAACTAATACCTTTTGGACTAGAAACCGCGCAGGATCCTTCTAGCCTTCGGGCTCAGGGACTCCTGACTGGCCGGTACCTGGTGGCAGGTGATGAGCAGTGCCGTCCAGACAAAGAAACCGGAGATGGCCTGCGCGGCAGTTGTCATCAGGAACACGGGCTGTTCCATGGCTGTGGGGCTGCCCTCGGGGACTTCGGAGACGCTGGGCGAGGCTGCCGCCATCGTGGGCGACACTGGATCTGGGGCCAGTGCGGCCCCCCTCACTGTCATGGTGCCCGGCAGCAGGGGCTCCCTGAGAGAAACCGTGGGAGTGAGCGAGGAGCTGGCCTAGAGAGAGGAAATCACAACATTAGCCTCCTCCCAGCCAGGGCCAGTACTGGAAAGAATCTCCCAGGGTTCTATGTCCACCTTCAAAACGTGCCCGGACTCTGACCAGGCGTCACCCTGGCCCCAGCCATCACGCTGGAGCCAGCCTCATCTTGTCCCCCCTGAATTAATGGAACAGGCTCCTCACCAGTCTCCCTGCTTCTGCCCTTGTCTCTGCTGTCCAGCCCCACACAGCAGCTGTGTGAGCCTTCTAAGATGTCAGCCAGACTGGCCTCTCCTCTGCTCAGAACTCCAAAACCTCCCGTCTCCTTCGGAGCAGAAGCTGAGTCCCTCCCGTGGCCCACATGACTGCCCTACACGGCTGCCCTCCGTGGCTCTGGTTGTTTCTCATCTCCTGCAAGTCCCACCTGATCCTCTACTCCAGTCACAGCCTCCTGCTGCCCTCGGATGTGCCACAGCCTGCCCTGGCTGCAGGCCTGCGCAC